CTCATGATCCTATACGCCACTACGAGATCAACTATTTCCCACAATCCTTTGCCAACAGGACACATAGGAACAGGCTGGCCATGTCCGAATTTCCCACAATGCACCTAGAAAAGTAGTGTTCATTGTGACTACCCGATCCGTCCTGCGCATGCACCAACAGAAAAAGATCTGGATCGCTGAAAAACGATGTGATATCGGTCGTGAAAATACTTATTTATATACTTAAAAACATTAAAGAATGCTGAACTACGTCGTATAGAAAATATTAAAGACTTTTCTGGAAGAAATGGAAACGTTTTTGCGTTCATGCTCTCCACTGTAATGCATGACATCATCATTGGCCACGCCCACAGCTGTCACAGTAACATTTCAAAGGCTATTTCAATATTTTTTAGATATTGCTTTTTTTTCGTTTTTAGAATATGCAATATTTACGCAAATACAAAAATATTTAAAAGGATTTGAACTTTGGATTTAAACATAAATCTAGTCTTTTTGGGTTTTATGTATTTCTTTCATGTGAACATTATGGTATATAGAGATTAATCTAAAGAAAGAAACAAGTAAAATGCAGATAAACGTGGTTTGATCAGATTTACTGCTCTGATCGTGTCCCATGATGACGTCAGGGAAGAAGTTTAACTGAGAAAATGGAAAAAGCATCAAAATTGTCTCACAAAAACTCATTAAACATTTTTTAAAGATGTCTATCAGCATTCTACAGAGAGTTAAGGATAGAAATAAGCAATTTTAGAAGCATAATAACGTTATTTATGGACATCCAGATGTATATCTGTGCGCGCATGAGCGGGACGGATCAGGTAGCGATAATCATCATTTTCACTAGACGAGCAGATATATCCCAGAATGCTTTGCTCTCCTAACAAAGGATTATGGGATTGGTTTTGGAGGCGAGAAGGAACAAAGATGGCACCGTGCGAGGAGGCGGAGTCACATGACCAATGGAGAGCAAAGAGTAGTGGTGATCTGTCTGATCTGTGATCAGTCAACAGAGTTCACTACCAAGTCCACTGTATAGAGACGGAGGGGTCAGAGGTCAGGGCGGACATGGACTCAGCCCCCCCCTGTTCTCTGATGGACTCATGCTGATGTTCTCCAGATGTTTGGCTGTGATCTCTGTCAGGAGGTCTACTGTGGAGCATGGAAGGAGGAGGAACAGCTGGAGGACGTGAAGCACCAGTCAGACAGGAGGACCCTCGGCCGTAATAAACTAATAGAGATGGAGAGGAAGCTCCAACAGCTACATGTTGCTCCACCCTGCTGACTGACGTCAGCATCACGCCGTCCTCAGTGACCCGTCGCCGTCTGTGGATCAACAAATGTTTGCAGCTTCAGAGAGAGGACAATGATCACACGGCGAAGGCCTAGGCTAGCTGCGCTCTGATGGCGGTAGCTTCCTGCAGCGAAGCGACGGCGCTTTACCCAGAGCTGTCGATTACACGGCAGCAAACCTCCTTAACGGTCACCTAATATCCGACCAATCAGAGGAATTACCCATCTGATCTGCTAAAGTGGCGTCAGATGCAGAGGTCTGCCCTGCAACCAGAGGGTTGTTGGTTCAAGCTCCTCGGTGTCATTGGGCCAATAGCGATGGTGGTCAGAGGGCAGCGGTGGCTAACATGTAGCTCACTTGACTGAACGAGGTGTGAAGCACTTTGCTCAGATCTCCAATCAGATGCTAGCATAGCCGCTGGTCTCCAGGTTGGCAGGCCTGAATACATCAGAGATATACGAGCAAACAGAACCACGACACGACTGACAGACAAATACGCCACATGCACAGGAAGAGCTAACGATCACAGCCTCCTTCCAGGAAGTCCGATTAATGAGGAAGCATTACAGAGAGGGAAAGATTCGAGGAGGCCCAGCTCCATCCCACCATGTTCACACATTTCAGAAGCACCTCCGGCTTCATCAATGCTGCTTGTTTCTGGGGTCAAAGAGCCGTAGAGACGGCATCCAACCGCCACCCGGGGGCGCTGGTGAGCCGTGCTCATCAGAACGAGGAGCACCTGAATGTTTCCCTCTACTGGTGATGGATCCATGTGTTCCTGGACTGATTCTGCTGAGGAGATGACCTGCGGCAGCCACAGACCATCTCTGACAGAGCCACCAGAGGAGGCTGCAGCTGAACGCCGGGCTCCAGGCAGAACCGCCACAGCGCTTCGTCTGGTTCAGAACCTGCTGATCAACAGATGCTGGTGTTCACCTGAGGAAGCCGTCGTCGTTCACCGCCCCAGAAGGTGCAGCTGGGCCCACCTCTGAAAACACATCCACCAGTAGACTGCCGGCGCTGGCTGGGGCGGCGTTGACCGGAGCTGCGGAGCGGATCCCCAGCAGGTCCGCCGATGGAGACGGGGTGGACTGGAAGACAGGGACACTTAGAGCAGAGGCAGAGCGGGACCTTCACGCAGCCTCGGGGGCACAGAGGGAGCTTACTGCGTTGGAGGCAGCCATGGCTGCGGCGTCCTGACCCCGCTCGCCGCTTCCATTCAACTCGCCGCTCTCCCTTTTACCGTCTTCAAGCTCCGTCACCGAAACCGCGCCAGGCCCCTTCTTCTTCTTCAACTTAGCCAGAATGGAGGACTCTCTCTCTGGGAAGGGTGGCATCTCCTCCAACACGGTGGCCTGGGTGGAAGGAGAACAAACACCTGAGAGTGAGAGCCGTCCTCACCGAGCCCGACTGGGCCCAGGTGGATCATAGCAGGTGGGCAGAACCAACCAGGACATCTGTGCTGGCGATGGAGGAGAGCTTCAAGTACTCGACGGCTCGCTGCTGCAGCTCCACGTCAGAGTTACGGATCTGGCTGTCGCAGCGCAGCACCTCCTGGATGGTGGCCTTCGTCTCTGGGAACAGGTTGATGAACTTGATGTAGGCCGACAGCAGCAGAGCGCGGGTCGGCACCGAGCACAGGTGGAACTTGGAGTGGAGAAGGTTGAACTGGACCAGGGGACTGGAGGGAAAGGACCAGCTGGTGAGCACGGAGCCTCAAAGAGACCAGAGCAGAGCAGTGCAGAGAGGACAGACCTGGAGCGTGGATCCCCGGCGATCAGGTTCCCAAACTCTCCCAGGATGTAGCCTCCGACCTTCACCATGTTCTCATGGCACGCTGGGGCCTGCAGGGCCTGAAACACAAGGATCCAGTGAGACCTTTGGATTGGATGCAACTAAAGCAAAGCAGGTCCAACATGCCCATAAACATGTAGGCAAACCTCACACAGCCAATCACAGTTCTCCGTTCTCTCCAAGGGCCGAACCGTGACCCTAACCTAGCTAGACACCGCTGACGTTTGGTCCTACGATGGGTAGAAACTAACTGCACCAAAAAGACCAGGAATCTAAACAGGAGCTCAGCATAAAACCAGCTAAATTAAATCAGGTTTAATCCCAGATCCTCCAAGCTCTGATCCTTTAGCTGCTAGGAATTACGAGCAGATACCAATCCACCAAAACATTCCCAGAAAGAAATGTGTCCTCTAACACCCACTGTCAGAGACCACAGCTCTCAGCCCAGGCTACTAGCCTACCAGCTTACAAACCCAGCCTACTAGCACAGCTTACCAGCCCAGTCTACCAGCCCAGTCTACCAGCCCAGCCTACCAGCCCAGCCTACCAGCCCAGCCTACCAGCCCAGCCTACCAGCCCAGCCTACCAGCCCAGTCTACCAGCCCAGCCTACCAACCCAGCCTAGGTGGACCTGAAACTGGCCTTTGCTCAGCACATCCACAAACAAAAGAAGGTCACCAAGAGAGTCTTGAAACATTTGTGAGACTACAGCCCCTACCAGATGGATTCAGCTCCTCCAGTCTTTATTGATCTCTGTGGGGATCAGTGAGTAACTGGTTCATACTGTTAGGTTTACTCTTTATACATCCTGTGCATTGTTATTCTGTTAGCCAGAAACAGAGTAGAAGGCCTTCCTTCACATTGTGGATGTCACTGTGTGTACGGAGGCCATCTAACCAGGACAGCCTTCGTGTCTTTAGAAATACACAGGATATGGGCACATCCTGGAGCCGGACTGATAAAGGAGAGCTGTGTGTAATCCTGGGGTAAAGAGGCAAGATGCATGGAGTTCAAGGCATGGATGGCGTGTCAGTTTCTGATAAAGAAAGCTGAGCTTCCACCTGATGCAAAACATGAACTCATGAGGTATAAGAAGGAGGAGATGACCTTGTTCGGGACTCAATCTTTGCCGGACCCTCGCTGACGTTTTTGAGCCCACAGCTTTGCCAACCCTAAGCAATTTCTCTGTCCTGTAACAACCTGATCTGGAACTAACTCTTTTACTTTTTTACTCCTGTTTTATAGTCCTTTTTTATACGGTTTTACCCAGAGTAGTAAATAACTTGCTCCCAGGTAAAGAACCGGTAGGGAAGTTCCAAGCCGCCTTCAGGGGGACCTAACATCCATATTTAATACCCCACCCTGCAACAGCTTTGAACTCATTGAGAGCAGTAGGGGCCCATGACACCCCCACCCACAGACCCACAGACAGGACGCTGCTGGGCTCTAGGAAAGTTAAGCTGCTGTTGGCAGGAGGAAGCATTTAGCATCAGAACAGCAAGCCGTTCCCATGGACGTACCTCAAAGACGGTCTTGGCGGCGTAGCCTTGCACGTCGTCTCGGTTGATGACGATCTGGATGACGCGATACCACACCTCCTCACTGACGTAGTCCCCAGCGATGCGGATCAGGTTCAGGATGGTGTCCACATACCAGGAATAATCCACAGCATACTTTTCTGCCAGGATGGCCACTTTAAGCACCTTAATGAAAGCAGAGCGACGGGTCAATCACTTCCCTACTGACCTAAACATTTCCCCAGCAGTGTTTTCTACCCCTTCATGGGACGCCATCATCATGGCGCCTTAAGAGCTGCTGATCTGCTCTGATGATGATCCGATTTTCCAATAGTTGCTCTAACAGTAACAGCCGTTCAAAATTTCCCAACTTTCCCTGATGGGTCCTTGGCGTCTCCACTATCATTCGTTTTAAACATCAATCTTTGAACTAAAATATTCTGTCATGATTTGTGGACATTAAGATCTAAAGAGAAGCGCCATCTCCTGGTCAGACCCTGTAATTCAGTGAAAGGGAGGAGTCAGAGGAAAATAATATGCAGGGGGTCACTGGAGTGGCTGGAAGTTGGAGGGTATTTGGCTGGGAGTTGCAGGGAAGGTGGCCGCCATTGGGCTGGCGTCTGACAGGGAAGGGTCATTCTGAACGGCTGCTACTGTACTTCAGTCTGTTTTACTCTGCTAACTTTATCAGAGGGAACCTAACAGAGAACTGAGAGAAAGTAAACGGCCCAGTTTGGTACTTCATCACATCTGAGGACCAGAGTGTTTCAGACTGCATCTACTGACTGACGCTGGTGAGCTGCTGGTGCACCAGCTCCTGTACGTAACAGCATCACTACCAGAACAGAGAAATGCTTCCAGATAATAAACCCTGGATCACAGAGGATCTGAAGGAACTGCTCAGCAAGAAAAAACTGCTTTAAGAAGGAAGACGGGAATTAATGAGGAGAATATAGAAGCAGCTTAAGGTGAAGATCAGAGGAAGAAAGGAGGCAAAGAGGCAGAGGCTGGAAAACCAGCAGAAGAAGATCAGACAGATGGACGTCTGGACAGAACCAATGAACTGAATCCATTCCTTAAATGGTTCAGCCTCTCCTCCTTTACTGCTTTTAGTGAGGCAGGAGGAACCAGAACATGTTTTCTCAGTGGTTGCTGGTATCCAGGTGCATCAGGGTGTCTCACGCACCATCTCCTCTCTGATGGAGTAGTCTGCCGTCTCCAGGTAGCTCAGCATCTCTGCTACGATCTGCTTGGCGTTGCTGCGATCACACATGGCATAGAGCAGATCGGCGGCTCGCTGTCGAACGCTGACGTCTCTCTCCGTCTGACAAAGAGCAGCGACAGGAAAGTTATTGAGGACAATCATCATCAGTTTAAATGTTTTAGGTGTGAGGCAGCACCTTCAGGGCATTGATGACCGTCTCGATGTGCGTCTTCACCGCTTCATGGGAGAACTCTGAGCTGGCCAGAGTACACATGCTCTCCAGAGCTAGATAACGCAGATTGGTCTCTCTGTGCTGCAGGAACTGGCCCAGCTGGTTACAGGCTCGCACCAGAAGGTTTGGCTCACTGGGAAAGACAAACGACTGGTTTTAATGATGATCCCAGCAGAGCTGAAACACCAAGCAGTGCAGTAGAGATGAGAGATGCGCCACTTCCTGAGCTTTAGATCCCAGCAGCCATTTATTTATGGATAAACACGTCAGTCATCTTTGAAATAACACCAAACACATTTTAGACCGATATCAGGGACAGTTAAATCTTTATTTAACCAGGGAGGTCAGTATCCCGGGTTTTAAGGAGAACTTGGCCAAAGGACATAAAAAGGGAGCAGAAACCACATTAAACCGTTAGATGAGCTGCAGCGGCTGGGAGGACGAGAACCTGGAGGAAAACCAACAGCTGCTAACATCTCAGCCTCATGTCTGTTGTACTTTAATTCTGCTTAATGAAGGTCACCAACAGCAGAGGGCTGGAGATGGAGCTCAGATCCAGGCCTTCATAAACTTGAGTTTAAACTAGAGGTGAGCGATATACCAGATATACTCCATGACTACCGCAGCCATCAAGGACAAATTCACAGGACGACATTAAGCCGTCTGCATCTATTTCATTGAGAGTTTGATTTTTCCCACACACTTTGAATGCATCATAAACCCCTCGTCCAAACAGGAATATTTTCTCCCACACTACAGCAACCGGCAGAGTTTCAGCTGAGCGATATACAGCAGCGGTTTGGATTTCACGCCGAACAAAGGCGCTAATTTATACGAAAACCTTTGCTGCTAAAGGAAGCAGAACAAATTTATTTCAGCACCTAAAAAGTCGTCCGCTGCAGAAGGAAGAATGTAAACTCTGCATGTCAGCGTTTCCCCGCACACCAATTAAAACATTCAATCAATCAGCTGTGAAGCCGATGGCGTCGGCCTCGTCGTTTGAAGAAATAATACCAGTTGACTGCTGAATGGTGTATAAAAGGGGGTTTGTAAAGAAAAAAAACCCTGAACGTTAGAAACTCTTAATCATATAGAGTCGTATGTTTACATTTATCACTGCTGCACTTTAAAAATGAAAATGTCTTGGAGAGCTGCACTGAATAACATTTGTTTTTTATACTCTCTGTGTAAAAAAATGACTATAAAGTCATTTGAGAGAAACAGGAAGAGAAGGAGGGAAATCACAGACGATATTTATTACATTATTTAAATGTTTTTTAGATGCTCTAATAGCTGGGATGTGATGTCAGAGGTTTTACAGCCGTTTACTAAACTTGACAAAGTTTTACATCTTTTTGTGCTTCTTTAAAATCCCCAGAAGATAAAGATCAATGCTGATAGTCTGGAGATGCTCTGATAATGCTCTAATTTTTATGATGGTATTTCCACTTTTGTTTTTGTAATTTCAGGTCAATTTCTTTTTTCCATTCCTCTTTTTTTATTACTATGCACAAATGAGCCCTTTTCTATTTTGCATTTTATTTAGTATTGTGTGTTTTTGGTTTGTTTACTGTTTGGTTGCTGGGATTTTGTTAAAGGTTTAATTCTGACCCCCAAAGACAACATGTGGCAGAAAAGCTGTGAGCTGGAAAAAAATAACAAAATTAAATGAAACTTAAAACCAAAAGCTTAACTGAGTATATCAGTGCAATTTTATGCACTTTGTTTATGAAGGTAATCTAAGCATATCTTGATATATGTTGTGTATTGTGATATAGCCCAAACATATCCAGGGCTGGATGTTAACCATCGCCTGATCTCCCGGGGCAAGTAATGCAAAACATCTAAATCTAGATAAGTCATTTTTTCTTAAAATAAGTGCATTTGTTCTTGAATTGAGGAGGTAAAAGAGACATTTTGCCAATGGAACAAGATGATTTACACTTAAAATAAGAAAAAATAATTGCTTTGCCTTATTTTAAGTGCATATTATCTAATTATCTTATTTTAAGAGTAAAATTACTCATTCCATTGGCAGACTGTCTCATTTACCTGCTCAAATTAAGGGTAAATACACTTAATTTAAGAAATTTTTACTTATTTCTAGCTCGTTTTTGCAGTGGCATTTGCCCGCTGGGCAAGTGCAATGATCGCAAAAAAAAATTATCACTCAAAATTAATTTTAAAATCACCGACATTCGATGAAAATGACCCAGAAGCGTTGCCGGCGCCATTTTTTGTTGTTTTGTACACATTCTTGCGTGATTTGAAAAAGCTGCGTGATTTTCTGCCAGATGGCGTGATTTTTGTCCACCTAGCGGTAATTTTGATGTAGTTACCAAACGACAAACGAGCTAGAAAGCGCTATCATATGGCATCTTCTGTACAGTGATGCAGGTCATACATTAAAAATGGTCATACATCTTTTTCTCTCAGACATTGGAGAGGTACATTTTAATGTTATAGAGCTAAACATGATTGGTGGCCTGTTATGTTATTATTATTGTCTTGTTGCTGCATTTATTTTGTCAGGGAAAACTAATCCTGAGTCAGTTAAAAGTCAGGGAATTCTGAAATGATGTCAGACTGTGGAAACCCTGAATAAAATAACTATGTATTATGATTCTCTAGAAAAGTCACATTATATTAATAGTATAATCTTCTATAAACATACCGTGACTCTAAAATAAAAGTCATTCATTTGTGACATTGACTTCCATCTTGTGATTTATCTGAAGTTTTTAACCTGTCAAGTTTTTTTCAGATTTTTAACATTATAATTTATATTTTTCCAAGCACACAACGACCGTTTAGTTTGAAAAGAATGAGCAGGAAGGATTGAAAAGCATGTTAACACGGTAATGTAGGCTGGAGATCATTATCTGACGCATGCAGATACACACCAGGAACCTGGAAACTTAAAAAATACTCAATTACAAAAAATATGTTTCATTGATATATACACAAAAATGAATATTAGGAACTATATTTATCTAACATTATACTGGACAAGTAAAAATTGTTTCTGGGCAAATGAAATGTGAAAGTTACTTGCCCGAAGGGCAGTTGGTAAAAATCCTTAACGTCGATCCCTGATTTTTTTATAGATATATAAAAAACAGAGCAAACTCCTTGGTCGTCTTCAGCGTCATCAGGCTGCAGCCGTGTCCCGAAATCCTCGTTTTTCAGCTCGTTTTTTGTTGAAATTAGCATTTTCCTCCCATTCTCTAGCTTTTTTTCGTAACATCCGGCTTTACAATCAACCGGAAACAGTTCCACGCAAATATATTGCGATATAATATCTCTGACTTAAATGTTTTTATAAACATTTTTTTTTTAAATAAAGCATTATAAATGCCTAGATAATCATATTTAATGAATTTGAATGCCAATTAAGGTCTTGGTTTAAAAAAATAATAATTGAATGGCTTTTAATGACCCACAGAGACCCTGAGGAGGAAACGGATTAAGATGTAGACAGTAGCTGGCAGACGGAGAGGCGGCGCCATGAACGATGCTCACCTGTCATAGTGGATGATTAGTGAGATCGCCTCGAACAAGATGGCGTTCTTGGCGTTGGAATGCTGCACCTTCTTGGATTTGGGCGGCTCCTGGGCCTTATTCAGGATGGTTTCCAGACACTCCACCAGGCGGCCCTTCACTGCGCCATCTTCTGGTGGAGGGTAGCACTGCAGCAGGCGCAGCAGCTTGCAGGAGAGCCAGGGAGCAGGCACAAAGTAATAGGTATAATCCTGCAGATCTGTGGAGGCTGAAGACACAATCTGGAAAGAAAGGTTGAAAAGTTTAAAGCAGAATGTCCGCATCTCATCACTTCCTTCAGAAATAAGCAGAGACATCTTTAAAGGGACAGAGGAGACCAGCAGCTGGAGGCATTTTCTGCATTTACATTTTTAGCGTGTCTAAACCTTTAATTCTCCAGTTTTAAAACATGACTGACTGAGAGGAATAACTCAGATAATTAGATTAGTACTGGTGGTAGATTAAATCTGAGATATCTGGCTTTCTGTTCTGACTAATAAAACTTCCATTTAAAGAGGTCTTAAAGGGGTGATAGAATGATTCTATAGGGTATCTGGTCCTTCAGGTCTCTAATAGGGTAATATTAGCTGTTCTA